AGTCTTCAACAAGGATTGATGGTTGGGTATGAGAACAATGCCCTATGCTGGTATATGGCTCATTACATTCTGAACTATCACCACTTCGACCACACGTTATGGCTGTGGGCATTGTTCTCATACCCAACCATCAATCCTTATTCACACCCACACTCTTCACCCTCTCTCATTTTTTCTTCTCCTGGGAGATATTTTGCCCTACAGGGATCTCATTTTCACTACATGTCATAGTTATCTGATTGTCATCTAATTGAAATGATTTTTTTTAATGTTTGTTGCTATTCTGTTGAAGTGTTCATCACCTTCTCAAGCTTTTGGAATTTGTTATAAACCTTTCCAAGTTTTTATTAGTTCTGGTATTCATAGAAGCTAAGAAATACATGCTCTTCATCTTCACTCAAGTCAATCTCGTCAAACTTAAAATAATTCATGTCGCCGATTTATTTTCAGTACCTCAGATATATTGACGCATTACCGTCAGTAGCTATTAAACGTTTCGGTTCGAGCTTTAAACGGTCACAGAGATCCTTTCTATGAGAGTCCAAATTTTTTGACAAAAATAAAGAACACTTATCTATCGATCAAGAAACATATTTTGCAATATTTTTTTTTTCATTATATTTTTTGCAACCACCTTTTTAATAAAAAAATTATCTCGATGTTGGATCCGCTTAGAGTCATCTTATTAGTACGGACAGTTCGGAGGCATCAACAATACATAGTGATAATGGAATTGAATCAATTCTGACAATTTTAATAGATTTCAAAAACGGTGAACCCTTCTCACACAAGACATTATGATATTCTACTCACGAAAAACGGTATACCATCAGATATTATAGCGCGCACTACACTGATCAATTGATTGACGGTATAGTCTAGTTCGAATCACATGAGAACAATATGTCGAAAATAAGACTTCCATTTAAGTGTTTAGACTATTTATCATTGTTTGAATCGACATGTTTGACTTTGAACATTGATCATCTCCCACTTGCAAAGTATTTCAAAGGGATGCTCTTAAATGTGATTCAGATGCTAGTTAGTTAATGAGTAACATCTCAGAGTGAACAATTTCAATAAGTCTTATCAATAGCTCTAGCTTATAAATAAATTAGTATTAAGTTGAAGACTTCCTGTTCATAAATCAGTTTTATAGGCTACAATATTTGTAAGAAAAATATTGTTTTATGCATTTGTGTTATACGATCGTTCAACTAAATATATATTTCAGTTTCAAAAAATGCGTCTATCATTCATGATAACCGCAAAGACGATTTCGTAATTTGTATACCAGTCGAACGAAAATTGGAACAACATAACGAAGTCCAAGTAAAAGTCCATTGACAACAGTCAAGAAAATTGTGACTGCATAAAGAACATTCAAGCGTTTTTCATACAAATAAGTACAATGTGTTGGTGCACATGCATTATAATATTGTTCATAAGATATTTCACTTGACCAATAATCAATAAACAACCGATAGATCAGTGTTTCGATTGTGTCATTGATTCTAAAGTTTGAAGTTGATGACGAGAATTGTAGTGGTGAAATTGTAATTATTTCTTGTAGCCCCCCGGAACTTAGATCTCCAAGACCCGTCGCTGCCATGAGATCAGTCATACATGAAATTGAAAAAAAGCAAGAGAGTGATGAATGAAGAATTGATTCAATCAAAAAACATCCAATGTAAATATTTTCGATAGTGTAAACTGTGTGATGAGTGTAATTGTAGAAACTTGCCAATTCTGCACAAGTACTTGAAGTTGCACATGAACAAGTTTCATTATTGTAAGTTTTTGGTATAGCAAATATAGGAGCATCGGTAGTAATTTTATCTACTTTAAATTCCACAGTAGTTCCTAAATTCGATATTAAACCGTTCCCTCGAGTGACGTCACGAAACATTTGCAGTTGACGAGAAAATAATAGCGAATTTGCCTTTTGAAATGAATTGATTGTTGCATCCACCTGTGTTTTAAACAGAGCTGCAGACATGACTTCAGATGACACCAATGACACTAAATTAAACTGTTCAATGGCATTATTGACGGTTGACTGTGCTAGTTCACAATATTTTTCCAGAAAATCAAAGAAGAGGATAGACCAATTTCGAAAATCATCTACTAGAAGCCACCATACGAGAGCACTTTGATATTTATAAAAATACGTAAACCATTTATTTAGGAAATTATTACTGGTGCAAATTGGATGGTATGTTGCACTAAGAAACATAATAAATTCATTGTTAGTTATAGACATATGGGCACAAGGACATTGTAATGTGTCAGAATAATGTTCTTGAAGATTTATATAAGTTGGCATCGAAGGAGTTGAAACAGTGTTGCTAATAGTTCGCTCGACTAATCCAGTATAGAGAAAGAGGACAATTGTGAAATTAATCGCCAAAACAAGATAGAGACGTGTTGACACAATTTCTTGTCGTTGAGTATCATTTGTACTAGACTCATTTTGAAAAAGATTGAGTGTAGATACATATTTTCGGATTTTAATTATGTATGAAGTCTTCGGAACTAAAATAAAATGGATCATTGTGAAAGAAGAAAACTATGGATGTGTCAAGATCAAGACCAAACCAAGACTCTCTGTCCGTCTCACAAAAAACTTGTGGCTTTGTTTAGTCTTGCAAGCGAAACTGGCCGAAGCTTTACCTTTTGTTTTTTGATGATTGATCTGTTTGCTTATGTATCTAGTAATTGTCGGCGCTACAATTAATATTTTTTTAGTACAAACTTCTTCGTTACATTGACATATGAAAGTGAAGTTTCGAAAATATTAATATAATAGTGTCAGATAAATTCAAGTCTAAGAATGAATCCCATCATAATACTTGTCCTTGTGGACTACCTCTCAACCTAAGTACTTTTTCGCCTGATATTAGGTGAATTAGTTGAAATCAGGAATCTCATGAAAAGCCTTATAGGTCTTACATTGAACAAGCAAGTAATATGAACCTTGCAGAGGTCAAAAGGGAATAAGTTTTTTTTATCGATTAGTTATTTCACACTTTTGAATCGAAAGAGAAATGGTTTCAGAATATCGCTTTCAAAAAACTCCATCAAGAATTCATTTGCTTGGTTGGTGGTTGACTGATCGAATTTCAAGATAATATGATGGTAGAGGATGCTCTCTCTAGAATGGTGAAAATCACAGGTCGCTAACTGCTACCATTGTGAAATTATTTAGCTTAAACTAAAATATACTCAGTTCTGGTGGCTACAGTAGATGAATGCAATGTGAGCGATTCGCAGCAAAAATTCTGTTGGTTCTCAAACGGAAATGTAACATGATTGAAGATTTCATAATAAACATGAGGATTTCTCTCTTGCAAGAATTCAAGAGATTCTACAAGATTTTAACTAAGAATCGCGTTGCTTGATTTCATTTAGTCATGGATACAGCCAGATAGACCGATCACGAAAGTAAAATGTTAGGTCTCGGCCCATTTCATTCAAGAAGTTGAATAAAACTTTAATTTTGTCCGACACTGATCGAGATTCGGTCATTTACTTTCGTGATTGGTCTGTCTGATTATGCATACAGGAATAGATGAAATCAAACAAAACAGTTCTCAATAAAAATCTTGCAGAGTCTCGGGGTACTCGACACGAAAATATTTTCGTCTCTCTCAGTGAATTGTCTCTTATGCTTTTTGTAGAAAAAGTGGAGATCTTTGACAGACATTTCTGTGTCGTGTTACATGCCTACTCATCGATATGAAGGCCAATATTAATGGAGACGACAGAGACCGCAAGTCTCAATTTCGATTATCTTCAAGTGAGACAGCTGATAACAGAGATCGGAATGAACAAGAAAATCTCGATTCAGCTCAAGCTTATGCCAGAAAAAGCAAAGATTTATTTTACCATCATGACCGAAATGTATGCATATCTCGCATCGAACGTTTCCTCAGTTTTCGTTTCTATATGTAAAATCTACAAATTGATACAAACTCGAAGCATTCAAAAAAGGCTGCAGAACATGTCAGGCCTTGGATTTTATAAAAATAACTGTTTCCCTAGACTGAAGGGATAGGGTCTAGAAACGGAAATTCACCTATATCTGTCTGTCTGTAGCATAGTGACACAAATGACCATTTCCGTAACACAAATAACTGTTTCTATGGTCCATATGACCATATCTATGGTCAAAAAGGTCAAATCTAAAGTAGCGATGACCACGACTATGGAACAAATAACTACTTTATTTTATAAAAATAAACTGCTTTTGCCAAAGACTTCTTCGTTAGATATTAAGATATCTCTTACATTTTCTACAACTCTTCTCAAAACAGGTTTTTGCCTCTATTTGTTTATATGGATAGCTCGAAGTCATCAGTCTAGGGTTAGGTGCATCGATTCACGATTTACTTAACCTGTCTTCTCATTGATTTCAAAAAGGAATAGTTTCTCGATTCCCATGATTGACACTGATTTATAGGTATCAACTACTTAGAGGAAACACGAATATTAAGAAACCGAGTATGCTACCATAAAATTAAAACTGAATTCGATATCTATTTTCAGATCTGAACAATAGTTTAGTAAACGCTAAAACTTGGTTGAATCGATCATACAACCTTTGGGTTAGAGAATGGAGATAGTTTACTTATCAATTAAGCTTTTAAAAGTCAGTTCTAAGCTAAATTAATCAAGTAGGATACATAGTTGTATAATAGATCATCCGATAAAAAGTTGCTTATAATTGTATTGCCGACCATAGAATTGAAAAGTTAATACATAATACTAATGATAGAACTAAAGCTATACGTCAATAAAATGGTGCAAAACATCGAAAACTTTAAATACTATATAGTGTGACAACACTTTACTAGGTATGTAGAAAAAGAAAGAGTCATGGAAGTAGTTACAGATGAATGTTCTTCATGTTAGACTATCTGTTCTTAAAAAAGTACAAGCGATAATTGAACTAGTAGATTTCTCACACGAAGCGATTAACATCTATTAAAAAAGGCATGGTACAAAGAAGATGAACTTTGCACTGAAGTGAGGTTTATTGCTCGAATTTGAGATTGATTGAAGAGGTTACTTCGTATTCGAATAAACAGAGCTGTATCCTTAAAAAAATCACAAGTCAATTTGATTCTACAGCATCTACAATCAGATTGGGTTCCATTTTCATTTCGATCTCTGATAGAAAAAAACAAATCTTTTTCATATGCCATACATTTCTATGAAATTCTTTATGTCAATATCATGGAGTTGAACGGATTGACAAGATCTTACACACCAATATGTTTCATGAGAGTATCTGCAACACAATATGCTTTATTATCATAAATTCATATATATATATATGTATGTCGTAGGACAAATTAAAATCTAGTTCAGTTTTAAATTGAACTAGGACAGATTAAAATTTTAATTCTTCCTAGTTCAGATTAAAATTTCGAAGTCAACTAGTTGACTTCGTAATGAAGTTTAATCTCAACTAGTTGACTTTAAAATTTTGATCTGAACTAGGATAAATTAAAATATTTTGAACTGAACTAGGACAGCTTGGAATATTTTAATCTCAACTACCACAGATTAAAATATTTTGATTTGAACTAGTTCAGATTGAAATACAGACATTTGAATGGATGGTTGGTGAGAGTGATGGCGAGCGCTGGGATGCGGGTAATAGCTCCATATTCACTCATCATCATTCACCATACACCCTTGCCCTCACCCCGACACGTATCTTCAACCAGACAGCCACGAATTGTGTGGCTAAAAATTTTAATTTATCCCAGTTCAGATCAAAATTTTAAAGTCAACTAATGTCGGCGTCAGAAGTAGATGGAGAAAACTCAAGGAGGAATATCTCCTGAACGGATGCAGCTAGCGACCTGCGGTTTTCACCATTAGAAAGAAAACACCCAGGGGCATCCACACATGGTAAAATATAATTGGTCAGCAATGGACCAATCAGATGCATTCTCGATGGAAATGTTGAGCNCAGGTTAACAGGTTACGATATGGACAACCTGTAACCTGCCCTGTAAAAATTTCATAACCTGGCCCTGCCCTGCCCTGCTATTTTCGCAGCTTGTCCTGTCCTGCCCTGTCAGGGCAGGGCAGGGCAGGGCAGGTTACCTGCATCCTGCAGGGCTCTAAATTACAACCAGATAGACCGATCACGAAAGTAAAATGTCGAGTCTCGGTCGATTTCATTCAACAAGTTGAATAAAACTGTAATTTTGTCCGACACTGATCGAGATTCGACCTTTTACTTTCGTGATTGGTCTATCCAATTATGCATACACGGCTAGAGAAAATCAAACAAAACAGTTCTCAATAAAAATCTTGCAGAGTCTCGGAGTACTGGACACGAAAATATTTTCGTCTCTCTCAGTGCATTCTCTCTTATGATTTTTGTAGAAAAAGTGACGGTCTTTGACAGACATTCCTGTGTTTTGTTACATGCCTGCTCATCGATATGAAGGTCGATATTAATGGAGACGACCGAAACCGAGAGTCCCAGTCTCGATGTATCCTCAAATGAGACAACTGATAACAGAGATTGAAATGAACAAGGAAATCTCGATTCAGTTCGATCTCTTTAAAGAAACTTCGCTCGAGCTTATGTCAGAAAGAGCAGAGATTTATTTTACCGTCATGACCGAAATGTATGCATATCTCACATCAAACTTTTGCTAAGTTTTCCTATCTATATGTCAAATCTTCGAATTCACACAAGCTCGAAACGTCAAAAAAGGGCTACAGAACATATTAGGCCTTGGATTTTATAAAAATAAATGTTTTCTCTAGACTGAAGGGATAGGATCTAGAAACGGAAATTCACCTATATCTGTCTGTCTGTTACACAGTGGCACAAACGACCCTATTTGTAACATAAATAACTGTTTCTATGGTCAAAATGGC